ATCAGCCAAATCAATGAGCACTGGCTCATATGTCAACACAATCCGTACCACTCTCAATTCTGCCCACTGACTACTTTGTTTAGTTCTTTCTTCAAAGTATATCAGAATCCAGCCAGATGGCAGAGGAATGCCATACAGGCAGGTTTCCCCTGCAACTGCCACTAGTATACTATGCATCCACCAAAGGGGAGGCTTCCCTTTCCTCTTGGGGCAGGGGTGGGCAATAATGTCAGCAACTTCTGGAAGCTGGGCTAGGTTGGGTTGGGCTGACTTAGGTGATCGGCCCTTGAAATGAGTGTAGCTCATGAGACAGCAGGTTGGTATTAAAAGCACTCCTGCACTGCAGGTAAGCATGTTATTTCTGTAAGGTGCTTACCTGAACACAGGCACACTTAGATTTGCTGAACAAGTCCTTAATTCATTCTCCCACTGGCAGAGAGGTTCATACCATCATAGGCAAATCAGCACTCAGTCCCTCTGTCTGCTGAAGCGCAAGATATATAGCTAATAGTTTTCTTCAATGGGACTACACCTGGTTTCTGTTCTCCTCCAAAAATGAGACCAGAATCCTAACGAGATCCATTTCCCATTTCGTCGATCTCACAAGCCCCAGCCAAACCCTTCTAGATATGAATTTACATCTAATTCACAACTTCCATCTGGCATTAATACCCCCAAGGTCTGTACTTGTTTTACTGCCTTTTTTGCCCCGAAGACTGCCTCTTATTGGGAAACCTCAGTCAGTTAAGCATCGGCCTTTGGCTCAGATTGTGATCTCAGGGTCCTGGGATGGAGCCCCGTGACCTCAGGCTTGCTGCTCAGTAGGGAGTCTCCTTCTCCGTCTCTCTCTGCTCTTCCTCTTCTCCCCATTCGAGCACGTGTGCTCTCTCTAATAAATTAAATCTTTAAAAAAAGATAGCTTCTTATTGGTTTGCACCCCAATCCCATCAGCTTACCCTCCTAACTAAGGCATTTAAAAGGTCTTAATATCTGCTCTATTTCCAGAAAGGGAACAGAAAGTCTCCAGTAACCCAATAAACCAAAAGCCTGTAATTCCTCTACAGTTTTAGGGATTGGGAAGGCTTGCATTTTACCAATGACCGTCTCTGGCATCACTTGTCTTACTTGACCAGATGATGCCCAGGAACTTTACCGATTAACCCAGCCCTTAGATTCCTGTCTGTATTTACCTCTCAGAGACTTTACACCTGAAATGTGTATGACATTTCAGTTCTTACACATTTGAGACCTGAGACCCAATGAGACAGGGAGGGTAAATCACAGTTGAACATCACACCTACATAATGATAAAGCACCGTCATCTCTGACAATACCCATTTTTCCAAATCTCTGCCTACCAAGCTGTGACAAACTGTGGGACTACTGAGGTACCCTTGGAAAGTCCATTGTCTCCTGTTCCACAGGAAAGAAAATTAATCTTAGAATTCATGTCCTAATGAATAGTGGAAAGGCATTAGACAAATCTGGTACATAAGTCTTAACAGATGCCATGATTTTCTCTAACAATAAGGCTATATTAGGCACCACAAGAACATGGACAGACGGGAGTAATTTTACTGAGTTCCCTATAATCTACTGTTATTTGCCAGGTCCCATTAGATTTCACTATAGGCCAAACCAACTACTGAATGGGAACTGAGCAGGCCTGATGACCTCCGCCTTTTCTAATTCTTCAATGGTGGTAGTAACCTCATCATCCTCCCCTAGTAGCTCATACTGTTTTATGTTTATGACTCTTCAGAAACTGGCAGCCCTATAGGTTCCCATTTTGCATGACCCACAACGGGTTTCACTACTCAACCTGAATCCACCTATGGAGCTGTGCCCAAGATACTCAAGTGAGGGAAAGCCACACTAGAAAACAATGGGGAAGAAGCCTGCCAATCTGTAGGTATAGACTAGTTTGTAGGACCTTGATGATTTGTCCCACATAAACATTAACAGTCTTTATTTCTCCCCAGAATTTCCAGGGTTTCCAAAAGTGTGCATTCAGCTCCAGTGTCTATTAGTACAGTCTGTTAATGCAAGAGCAATAAATGGTTAATTCCACATGAGGCCTCTAGTTCCCCCCCTACTGTTGCCTAACCCCTAGTCCCTAGAGGTATAGGGTATACACTGCTGAAATTCCTCTGTTAGCAGAGGAGCTCCGGGGAAACACCTGGTTTTCTCAAGCCTTCCATAATGCTTAGCAAGACCAAACTGGGTTGTCTGTATTTTCTTCCAGGATCCTGTATAAAATTAGGACTTGCCATTATTGTTTGAGAGACCTTGATGGGCCCCTTTTCTGCCATTTTATCATTGGGAGGATCCTTTGCTTTTCCCATTTTTCAACCTATTTCCCCTAAGACAGATTCTTTTGGTCTCACTTAAGTCAACCACCATAATAGCTACCTTAGCAATGGGCCAATTAACCACAGGGGCAAGGACAGATATTAAATCCCACACCATGCCCCTGGAGCTGACTATAATATAAGGTCTTCCATACCAGAGGAAAGCAATTTTTTGTCTAGATCACTAAAATGCTAAGTGTAAATGGCAGGTTTCACTCCCAGTTCACACAGAATTTCTAGTAGTTCTTCCATGGAGATCAAGGAACAGGCCCCTTTTAGGCCAAGTTATCTTAATTCTAGAATTTATCCAATCAAGTTAACCAAGTGCCTAAGATTCTGTCCCAAGACTGTGGTATGTACTTGTTGCAAGGCAGGCTGAGAGCTGACTGGGGCCATTTTGGACATCCCAAACCTCCAACAAATACCCTCTTCCCCAGCATCCCACCACTGCAACACCCAAGCTGCCACCGCCACCCTGCACCCACATCGGCCACTCTGCCTAAAGCGGCTGGCCTACTCCACTAAGTCTGGGGCAGAGTACTCACTCCCTCACTGTCGTTTCCTGACTGGTGAAATTTTTCCTCCCTCATCCTCAAGCAAGCAAGCGGCCTGGAGCTGTGTTCCAACCAGAGGACGTGCCTTTAAATCCCCCTCCTCCTCTACCACCACCATCTCCTCATCAGTCACTACCCCAGGGATCCCACGCCTCTGGGTCCCTACTCTCCTGAGACACCACAGTTCTCCCTTCAGTACTCCCTTCAGCACTCACCCTTCTCCAGCCTCCCAAGGCCCTAATTCCCAAGGGACCCTCCTGCTGTTGGATTCCTCCAGACACAACATCCCGAGGGGAGCAACAGGCGGCTCACACACACCCCTTCCTAAGCCAAAGCACTCATCCCTGCTGCTCTGATTCCCACCGTACTCCTGACTCCCCTCCACCATACTTCCCCATGCAGACCACGGGCCCAGCCATGCAGCAACTGCTGGCCAGTGGCTACCCCCCTCCTCTCAGACAGACCTTCTAACAGCCCTTGGGGCGCCCCCCCACCTCCACACTCACAAGCCTGGCCCTGCCAGCTCAGGCTTCCCCCCAACTCCCACCACTCACTTCACCATCTCCAGCTGGCTTGCCAGTGCTTAGAAGGTGGAGGAGGGACAGTCAAGTATCCTCCGGACTCAGAAGGCACCCTGAGACCAAAAAAAACTTCGAGCCTGCGGGACCGTTTTTACCTTTCTACTCAGGATAACTCACTGACAGGGAGGGACAGGGAGGGACGGGGAGGACACACCACCCAAGTGGCTACTCTCCACCAAGCAGGGCCCATAATCGCCTGCTTTCCCAGAGCGAGGGGGCCAGTGGGGTGGTCACAGGATAGTCAGCCTTCCTGCACGCTGGTCAGGGCCAACATCAACCTCCATTGAGCCCACAATACTCAGTCTGAAGGAAGGTCACAGTGTAGCCATGAACAAGATGGAGGACCAACAATGGAGTCCATGTTATCAGTACTCTCACACATCCACGTAAGGATTGAAAAGTACCCTCCTCCACTAAACAGTAAAACATTCATCAACAGAAAAATAGTTAAATTCCATTATCTGTTCGATGGAGTTCCATGCAGATGTTATAAAGAAAAAGGCAGATCTATGTATTGATGTAGGAAGCTGTCCATACTCTGCCAGGGGAAACAGGCAGGAATTGAATTATATAATGCATAACAGTTGCTTGTTACTAAAAACATCCACGATGAAAGACAGACAGACTATAAATCAGTGTCACAGAGAACTCCTCTGAGAAATGAGAAGGGAGTTGGGGAGGGAGAATAATCTTCATTTTTAAAATATATTTCCGTATTTGCCTTTCATTTACCTAAAAAGTACTGAATTGAAACACACTATGTGCCAGCACGGTTCTAGACACAGGAAATAAGTACTGAAAGGATTAAGTCCCTGCTTTCATGGAGCTAACACTCTCTAGTGGGGGCAACCACCAAACAAGGAAATATGCAGTAGTACATGCTATGACAAAAATAAGGAAATGTGGGGTGTCTGAGTGGTGCACTAGTTAGGCATCTGACTCTTGGTTTCACCTCAGGTCATGATCTCGCCCTTGTGAGATCGATCCCCACGTCTGGCTCTGCTAAGCATGGAATCTGCTTAAGATTCTCTTTCCCTCTTCCTCTGCCCCTCCCTGTGCTCCTGCTCTCTTAACCTCTCTCAAATACATATATCTTTAAAAAATAATAATAATAAGGAAATTCAACAGAGGTAAATACATGGTCACTTCAGATTGGGTGATCAGGGATGGCCTCTCTGAAGAGACCAGAATGACCAGAGGAGCAAATCTTAAGTCCTGGGAAAGAACATTTCAAGCAGAAGAAACAGCTAATGAAAAGTCCTGGAGGAAAATGGTAGGCTCCAAACGAGGTCAGAGATGCAGGCAGGGGCCAGATCAGATCAAGTGGGGGCTTTGCTGGCAAGACTAATGAGTCCATATTTTATATTAAACGATCTGAAACTTGTTACTGTCATAATGATATTTTAACTTTTGAAAGAAAAAAATTAAAATAAAAATTAAAATGCCAAGAGCCACACTGGATTTTCTTAGAGATCTCTAAAATAAATAACTGTTCTAAGCACAGTTCATTCTACCTCTATTATCTTCTTTAGGATCTGTCGAAATCGAAGAGTTAAGGCATCAGATTTTTTCTTCAGTAGGTTTCGACCTGTCTGTGCTCCTTTTAATCGAGCCTTCATGATGGTCTGTGCCCTATATAAACAAAATAAAAGATATTTATTCCCACTTTTTAAAAAACATATAAATACTTCCCCAATATAGTATTAAAATTATGTTTTCCTCTTTGATGTCATGATTTTAACAATATATAGCATCTGTGCTGAAAGTTATAATTGTTTCTCAATATCGCTGATTTCTATCCTCAATGTTCCAGAAATATTAGGTTCATTTATTTAAAATAGAAACATTCTTTAACAAATATCTGGGAAAAGTTATTTACTATATCACAATAAAATTTATCAGGAGTCCTATTTTATGATGCCACCATAGCTAAAATATTTGATTTGCAAATTAAAATAACATCTCTGTTTCCATTACAGGTGTATTAAGCATTTTTTTAAAATCTGTCCACTAATAAGTATCAAAATTTGAAATGTACTTACCTTCAGGACCAACAATTCTATTGTGAAGAATTTATCCTACAGACTTACTCCCACATGTACACAAAAGTATATGCAAGGTTAAGGATGACTACTCCAGCCTTGTGTGTAATAGCAAAAGGGTGGAAACACACTAAATGTTCCATATATCATGGGTCACCATAAAATGGAATGATAAACAGTCATTAGAAAAAGATTTAAAAAGAATATAAACTATATTATATTCTTTTACACATGCAAAGTAAGGGATAAATATGCTTATATTGATACAGAGATTACTTTTAGAAAAGATTCACAGAAACTGGTAAAAGTTTCCTTTGGGAAATGGGACTAAATGGAAAAAATGGATTTACTTTCCACTATATTATATTCTTAAGGACCTCTTATAACATATACCACAATGAATAATTATTTTTTCTATTAAAAGTGTGGCACTAAAGTGTTTTCATTTCATCAAAATCCTACCACCAATAATTTTACTACTTTGCAAATGACTCAAGGAACCAATGACACCCATTTCTGAAAAGTGACAAACTACAGAAGTCTTATCTCTTATTCCAGTCTTTTCCCAATAGAAACCCCAATATCAAAGCCAAGAAAGTAACTGCAGAAATTGACAATTTTGTTCTTGCTGCCATATGCCAGATAACATTTAATAATTTTAAAAAGTAGATAAAAGATTTAACAATAGATTGTATAATGTAGATACTTAAGATGAATTATATAAGGGGATATAATTTCATATGACTGGTGTTATAACTAACTGCAAAATAGCATGTATTAATGGACCTTTGGGTAAATTCTTAGATTTTACTGAAATCTTTTGCCAAAATGGAAAGGTTACTGAGACAATTCTATAGCTGGAAGAAACCTTAAACATGATCTTGAAAATGAAGCTTAAAAAAATGAAACATTTCCTCCCACTGTGGGGTGGGGGAGGGGACAAATGAAACACATTTCTGACTCCAGTTCCTTGCCCACCGCTCAAACTGAGGCTCAAACCTAGGCCCACTGTATCCCAACCACCCGCCACACTGCCTGTTATACATAGCACCAGATGAACAGTTCTCTGTTTGAAAACTACTCTATCAGTAGCTGAATTTGCACTGACTGACCTCACTGGAGGTCTAACCAAGTGAAGCTGGTTCAGTTTCCAGCCTTAGCTGGAGCTATGCACCCCAATGTGTACATTTAACATATTATCTTGTTGACACCAATGACCAGAATTTGGAGCTCAAAGACTTGAATCAAATTTAAGTCAAATCCCAGTACTGCAGATTCAATATAGCAAAAAAGGTGAGCTGGTTGATAAAATTGAATTTACCGGAGAACCTGGGTGGCTCAGTGGGTTAAGCCTCTGCCTTCGGCTCAGTTCATGATCCCAGGGTCCTGGGATCAAACCCCACATTGGGCTCCCTGCTCAACGGGGAGCCTGCTTCCCCCCCACCCCGCCGCCTGCCTCTCTGCCTACTTGTAATCTCTCTCTGTCAAATAAATAGATAAAATCTTTTAAAAATAAAGAAATAAATAAATAAATAAAATTGAATTTACCAAGCTAATTTTAATTTCCTCTTAGCTAATAGCACCTCTGTGAAATAGACACATTTTAAATCTTGAGACCTGAAGAATGATTTACCCAAAGGCTTACAGCCAGTACGTCATAGAACCTGGATTTGACAGACTCTTGTTGACTGCAAATCCCTCAAGCCTCTTTTGCTTTCAGTCTAAACTTTGTTTTGTTCTCTCTGCTGCATAAGGGGGAGACAGCCCCACCTCACAGGATAACACTGTAAGGTGGAACTGTCTGACACAGAAGTCACTAAAGTATTTTCTAACCTAGCTCTTAAAGAAACAACTCCTTTCTAAGTTTTAGGGTTGCTAAGCATTAGGAAAAACGTTCGACCTTCAGCCAGAAGGATGACTTTGTTTTTGGCTGAATCAAAGACATCTGACTACATGACAAATACCTGCTGCTAAGCCTTGGGGAAAATATTTACAGAACCACTAACTTCCTGCGCCTTATTTTCCTCTCAATCAGCAAGCTGAGTGCTCTCAAATAGCAATTTTCACTTTTACAAACCTATTAGTCTTCTTGTCTAAGCCCAAAGACGTCCATTTTCACTTCTTAGTCTCAAACCAAAAACAAAAAAATGTTAACATTCTGACTACTATTAAAAATAAACACAGCCAGACATTCAGGTGGTGAAAACAGATTTTGTGCAGTAACCAATGACAGTAGGAAGAAGAGCTGAGCCCCATTCTGACTTGTGCAGAAGTGGTTGGGCATTTTACTTATTTTTTTAAGATTTTATTTATTTGACGGAGAGAGAGAGTGTGTGTGTGTGTGTGTGCGTGTGTGCGCGCAAGCACAAGAAGGCAGAGCGGCAGGCAGAGAGAGCCCACAGAACAGAGATTCCCCACGGAAGGCTTGATCCCAGGACCCTGGGATCATGACCTGAGCGGAAGGCAGACACTTAACCAAATGAGCAACCCTGGTGCCCCTGGTTGGGCATTTTAAAGGAACAGTAGGGAGAGAAGAAAGAGCGGACTCAAAAAGAGTCACAGAAGTAAAAAATTAAAAAGGGCTGGTCACTGAAAATGACACTTGGCCAGCTGTGTCTGCTACCTGGCAATCATGGAAGTTAGGATTCCATCTTCCCAGAGACTGGGAAACATCCATCCTTCCCAATAACTACATTTCAAAGAAATGGCTTTCAGATCCTTGAGAGTGACACTTCTAAGTTGTAGAAGAGACATATATATTTCAAAAGGAAAAGAAAGGATGCATAATTGTAAGCCATTTTTAGTGAATACCCTAAGAAAGGGAGGTCAGGAGCCTATCATCAGGTATTGGATAGAACAAATTCTCCTGGAAGCACCTGGCTTTCTCCACAGGTGTTTTCACGGGTGCCGGTGTCAATCAAAGAACACAGCCTTAAGCCATTCTAGTTTGGTGGTCTTTCAATGCAAACATTTATTAGAATCAGGGTCGATTCTGGGAGTTCTGCAGATCTCCCTACCCCAGGGTAGCTTGATCCTCATCTATTTTACAAACGGTGCCTTTCTCCACAGCTGACTTGCTTCCCACTTAATATAAACACCTACCAGAAAATCAATAGGTGAAGGTAAAAAATAAGCAAAAATAAATAAATAAAAAGCCCCCAAACCCTTTCATTTCATTAAGAGCTACAGCCAAACTGAAAGAGACAGAAAGCTAAGTCTTGGATTTGAAAATAATTCTTTTATTTCAGGCATTCTCAGATTTTCCAAGAAAAAAATCAAGATTAAGGAAAAAAACCAGAACACGTCCAATGAAATAGGACCACAATCAAAAGATCTAAATGTCAAAGTCAAATCTGATTTTCTACTCCTCAATGGGGCGGGGCGGGAGGGGGGGAAGTGGGGAGAGGAAGTAGAAAAGGAGGAGAGGCCAAATAACAATCTTAACTATGACACATTCTTAGGCAAATTTGAGAAAACTATAAAACCTTCTTTAAAAACTGGCCCAAACAGAGGCAACTGGATGGCTCAACCCATTAAGCACCTGCCTTCAGCTCAGGTCATGATCCCTGGGTCCTGGGATTTAGCCCAGCATAGGGCTCCCTGCTCAGCTGGGATCCCGCTTCTCCCTCTCCGTGCCACTTCCCCTACTTGTGCTCTCTGTGTCAGATAAATTGATAAAATCTTTTTTTTTAAAGATACTATTTATTTCAATCTCAAGTAGGTGGAGAGGCAGGCAGAGAGAGAGAGAGGAGGAAGCAGGCTCCCTACTGAGCAGAGAGCCCGATGCGGGGCTCGATCCCAGGACCCTGAGATCATGACCTGAGCCGAAGGCAGAGGTTTAACCCACTGAGCCATCCAGGTGCCCCAAATTAATAAAATCTTAATATTAAAAACTAGCCCAACACTTGGGGCGCTATGCTTTTTTTGTAGCCCTACTATGGATTAATTCTCAAGACACTCTCTCCTCCTGGAGACAGCTCACAATTCAGTGGGAAAGCTATGTAAACAAATATTCACTTTACAGTCTGGGTGGTATTAACAGAGGTCTGTCTGAACGAGGCACAATGGTGATGGAGCAAACGGAGTGCCTCGAAAACTCAGGGATATCTTCCCACTGCAGGTGACATTTCGTGGAATCATGGAAAATGAAAAGGGGCATCCAAGCTCAAATCTTACGACCACACTCGGGCAATTCGATTCAACCCCCAACTTGGCCTAGAAGCCTCTTCTATATGCTTCTCACCACAGTAAACTTCCCTTCTCAAAATATTTATCAAATTCGCTGGTTGGTCCATCTCTCCATTAAAACGTGGCCTGAGGCAAAACTGGGGATGACTCATAGTTCTATAAACCCAGCGCCCAGCTCAATAAGGGAAAACGGGATGAAAGAATTAATGAGTAAAGTCAGCGGACCTCCGTAAAAACCAGCAGGCCGAGCAGCATGTTCCTACGGATTGGGATCGCTCTGTCCAGTGTGCTTCCCTCAGAGGAATGGGTGCAGGCCATTAAAGAGCATCGCCCCAGACTCACGAAAAGGAACGGGGGAGAGCTCAAGATTCGCCCAGCAAACAAGAAACCTCGCTGCTGGTCCAGGGTATGCAGGGACTGCTGCTCGGGACAGGCGTTCAAGAACCTATGAACGCTGCCCGACCCGTTCTTTTACTTACATGCGCGAGGGAAAGATTTCAATTCGGTCTTTGCCCGACATTCTGACGATGATAGTAAGGCTCGAATCCCCGGCCGGGCAACCGTGGCTGAAAGAGTTTCAGCCACAGGGTCTTCCTCTATGGGAGTCAGCTGGTTGTGTCACCTAACCTCCTCGCGTTGCTAAGTGGCAGCTGGGATACGTATATACCATTCTTCACTTCCGCTTCCTGTTGGCACGTGGGGAGGGTGGGAGAGAACAAGACTGAGGCGATGCCCGGATGTTAAGGCTTCGGATCCCCTCAGCGAACCGCCCCTCACTTCCGCTTCTCCTTCTAGCCCCAGCCCCTCCAGCTCCCAGGAGGCTGCGCAAGACTTTGCACGCGCGGGGTGAAAGAACAGGAGAGAAGAGTACACGCCTTTTCTTCTTTCACTTTTCCATCTTTGGTCACAGCGCCACCTCATGGTTGGCTGAAGCTTCGAGAGAGGATTAATTCTTCAAGGACAAGGAGTCAGTTTACCTCTTCCCTGCGCCTTGAAACTTACTTAACGAAAACGATAGCTATCGAGAAAGCGTATTTTTCGGGTCCTCCTTTGGTCTTTTTTTTTTTCCGGAGGACCTAGACTCTATGGTCAGTGAGGAAGAGGGACCTCTTCTTTTGGCGCTTGCGTGATGCGAGGTGGTTCCGCATGCGCGGTGGGGTAGAACCAAGCGCACGCTGAGGAGGATTGGCCGCCGCTGTGGCTGGACTGTCTGTTCTCTGCGATTAAAGAGCACGGCACGGGATCCCGGCGCGGGTTTCAGATACATACCTCAGGTGACTAGTCCCCCAGATCGGTTTCTTCAGGAACTCACTTTGGTTGTGTCCAGTGACTTGGGTGGTCGAGAGAGGGTAGGCCCTGGGCTAACACCCCTCCCTTTCCCGTTCCTGCGCGGGAAGTGTCCGACACCACCCGGCGCCGGGTGGGTCTTCCGTGTTACAGCGGTGTCATTGTACGAGCGGAGGAATCTGGTGAAGCAAAGTGGGCCAAGTGACCGTACAGCCTTTCCGTTATGCTCTAAGTGAGGACACTTTGAGATGGGGGCGGCCTCGGGAAAACGCTGTGACACCCCCGCCCCAGGACGCTGAGCACTTTGCTTTTTCTGGGCCTGAGAATCCCACCACTACATGGCTTTTTTTTCCCCCCATCCACCCCACCAAATACTATCTCTCAGTGGGACCAGACCAGACACTTGAAGGGACCATTGGGGTGGGCCGCAGTGTTGACAAGAGCTGGGTTAAAAGGATCCAAGAGTAGTTTGTCCGATAATTTATTTTTTTCTATTTGGCGTTCATATTACCGTATCGCTTGACTTGGGCATCTTTATAGAATGAGTCACCCCTTGCATCGAAACTAAAACGTATTGTTAAAGAGTTCACTATTGTTAGTATCGGTTTTCCGTATTTCAGCACCACTGAGAGAAAGATAAGGGAATTTGGGAGTTAAATTGGTATTCAGCCTGAAGCCCCTATTATCCCCCAGACTTGGCTACTTTAATTATCATTAGTCAAGAAACGTTGTTTCTTGGAGAAAAGGTGTAGCAGAGAAATCTCACAGTTGAAGTTACCAAGGAAAAAAACTTGTGATTATGTGTCTTTCAATAGTTCGTGAATTATATAGAGCTTTACTGCCTATTTTGAGTCGATCTGATGCCAAGTTGACAGTTAATAATTCTCCTAGGATTTTGAAAAAACACACAGTAATACTTGTAGAGATTGGTGCTTCTATTTCAACTACAGTGAAATAGTTTAAAAGCTTATTTGCGTAGCACTCCTATACTACAAACTAATGTTCCGAGAACGTTACCGATAAGCATTAGAGCCGGTTAGAATTATCAAGAGTTGTCTCTGTCACATAACACACTTAACTTTGGAGAGGAGTGTGGACTTCCTAGATTATGGTTACTTGACCATGCACTGGTGTGAGAAAGGAGTTCTGTCTACCATTTGACTGGGCAAAATTACTGACAATGCAGGGTATTTGAAATTAGCTTGGAGTTGAGTATATTTTGAAAGACGATTCTTTTGTACCAAAGAACACATACCATATTGTAGTACTCTGACCTACTGAGGCTCTGTGGGTTAAAGGTGTTCTGGGTTTAATATCAGAAGACTTGGTTTTAGTTCCTGTCCTAGTACTTACTAAGCATTTATCCTTGAGAAGGACAGTTAATATTTCTGTTCTTTGGTTCCCTTTTAATCGATTGCTTTCATAGTACTTTATACTGCTATTATTTACTTACTAGTTTGTTTCCCACTCTGTACTTAACTTCCTTAGGTAAGAAAGGAGCCTGCTTAAGATTCGATTCTCCCTCTGCCCTACTTGCTAGCTGTCTTTATCTCTTCTCTGTCAGTAGTGCTTAGTACATAGATATTGCACAAATTACTGTTTAACAAATTAAGTTACCAAATGGAAATAGTATCTTTTTGCCTTTTAATGTCATATTTGTATAGCAAATTACACTTCCAAATTTTTACATATATGTCTCATTTGATAACACTCCACAAACCTGTGAGGTCCATGACACAGGCTAGAAACTACAGTTTAATGGGAATGCATTTCCCAAGCAATCACAGGTAGTAAGTAGAGCAAAGGCTGGGATCCATGTCTAGAGCTATTGTGTACTTACTGGTTACTTTCTGCATTAAATAACATACCTTTGGCTGTGTTCTTTTTGTACTCTGTATAAAGTAAAGAGATTGGTACCTCTTAAGGCGGTAGTATTCATACCTCCTGCTGGGATTCTTTTACACTATTGCCTGTGTTCTTTAATCACCAAATTAAGTCTAGATTCTCCAGAATTATTCAGCTTTACTATTTGAATAAACCTGGTAAGTGAATATGGTTAGCCCATGTTAAATCTTTTAAAACTGTTTTCACACATTTCTGTGACACCATTTATTTTGATACCCAGTTTGCAACTTCTAGCCCTCAGACTTTAGTGCTTTACATACAGTTGTCCAAAAGAAAGAAAAGTAAAAAAAAAAAAATAAAGCTTTGTTGAAGAATGAAACAACCAGCTCAGCTGTTTCTTGGTGGGTAATTCTGGCCATTGAACATCTAACTTCTCTTTATTTGCTAAATCCCTATTTTGTCAAGCTACACAGAAATGCATTTCTGTCACTGTTACTAATATGCTGCTTTTTTTCTTTTTGTTAAACAGGATAGATTAGTATTAAAAGCTTGCATTGATCTCTGGTATCTGCTTTAGTACTGAATACATTAATGTAACTTTTTTTAAAAAGATGTTTCTTACTAATATATTTGTTGGTAATTTTTTTTTTAAAGATTTTATTTATTTATTTGACAGAGAGAGATCACAAGCAGGCAGAGAGGCAGGCAGAGAGAGAGGAGGAAGCAGGCTCCCTGCTGAGCAGAGAGCCCGATGCGGGGCTCGATCCCAGGACTCTGAGATCATGACCTGAGCCGAAGGCAGCGGCTTAACCCACTGAGCCACCCAGGCGCCCCTATTTGTTGGTAATATTGAATGAAAATACAGGCTGGTGAATAAGAGCACAGACTATGGATCCAAGCTTTGTAGGTTCAGATTCTGACTTACCACTTGTTAGCAGTATGTGACAGAACAAGTTACTTGGCCTGGGTTTCTGTTTCTTCAACTATAAAATGGAGAGAACTAGAGAGAGAGGCAGTGGCCAGATCATGTAGGACCATGTAGGTAGTAGAAAGATATAAAATCAGTGGGAAGCCACTGTGAAGATACTTGTGGATTCAGTTAACAGTTCTCAACTGCACTGCCCCCAGAACTCTGGGGTTCTGAGCTGGGGCGTGGATGTTCTGTCTTTAAGATCAAGTAATGGCAGCCTTATTCCCAATTAATTAATAAGAAAAAACTGGGGCACCTTCGTGGCTCACTCGGTTAATTAAGCACCCAGCTCTTGATTTTTGGCTCAGGTCATGATCTCAGTATTGTGAGATAGAGCCCCATATCAGGCTCTTGCTAAGTGTGGAACCTGCTTAAGATTCTCCTTCTGCCCTACTTGCTCACTGTCTTTCTCTCTCTCTCTCTCTCTAAAAAAAAATAAGTAAACGAATTTTCACACATTTTCATAGGCCTTTAGGTCCTGTTCCCACCTATTTTCTGAACCTTGACAATAGTAAATTAGTCAAGGTTAGTAAGAAAATGTGAAAATCATCAGCTATGATTAGTTTTATAGCTTTCTTTTAAAAATATACTTCTGTGGGGGCACCTGGGTGGCTCAGTGGTTTAAAGCCTCTGCCTTCGGCTCAGGTCATAATCCCAGGGTCCTGGGATCAAGCCCCACATCGGGCTTTCTGCTCCAAGGGGAGCCTGCTTCCTCCTCTCTCTCTGCCTGCCTCTCCACCTACTTGTAATCTCTGTCTGTCATATAAATAAAATTTTTTAAAAAAATATATATATACTTCTGTGCATGGTATGATTTCAGTCTTGTGGGACATAAAAGGAGTGGCACTAAGTGTAGGTTGGGTAGATCAAAGGGAATTGCTTTAATTATACTTAATGCTTGGAGTTTGAGACTCTCGAACTTTATTGTAATGGAGTTCCATAAAGGTTTTCTCAAGATTGGGTATACCTGTTCAATAAAAGAAAAGTATTTATTTAGTTATATTGAATATTTTTTGTGATTAGTAAATTTTTAGGTTTTGTCTTAACATATGATACTGTAATTTTGGCTAAAATGATAGAGTATATTACTTGATATATGATTAGGACTATGGTTCATATAGTCAGAAGATTCTTCCCTTTATATAGTGGGCGGTAGTATATTGTCTTAGCCGACTCAGAGAATGAGTAGCTTTAGTTTTACTGATAAGTTTATAGTAGCAGTGATACTTACCTTCATTTGTTATTTCTTAAGGTGGTTGTATTAAAATAGTATTTTACTCTTGAGGTGTACCTTTAATCCTTAGGCCTCAAAGTACTTTATAGATGGTCATTATTTTTTATGATTCCTCTAAAACTGATGTCAGAGAATCACCCAGGCCTTAAAGAAATGTGGAGCAAAGTAAAAAAGCTTGATTCCTGAATATCCGTCTGTTTTCTGGTACCTTTTAAGAACTTTAAAGAGATGAGAAGACTAATCATTTCTTGCAGTGACAAGATAGGAAAATTGATTGACATTTCTTTTGACCTTAACTGAATACTCATTTAATTCTTTTGTTTAAAATGCAGAATGCCGGGTCTAAGTTGTAGATTTTATCAACACAAATTTCCTGAGGTGGAAGATGTAGTGATGGTGAATGTAAGGTC